AGCAACTGTCTCTAATTAAGGGAAGGCAATGCGCGGGACTTACTCCGCACTGCATTCATGCATCAATCTCGGGAGGGAAAGCGAACCCGGCCATAACTCTAGACATGCAAGGACAGGTCGGATGTCTACTAGAGGTTCTCCAGACAAGCATTGTCGTAGTCACCCAAACGAGATCTAATCGGATCGTGATCGAGACCGTACCCACGGCGTTTACTTCAACCACCACGAGCTTCCCTCCGCGTAAGGGGACAACCTCGACAAGCGGTTCCTTAGATGGCACCACATCCGCCGAGGGCACCTCTTCCTCCTCCAGCCCGGCCCCCCAATCCTTTCCAAGCAGCAGCATCGTTTCGACTGAACCAACTACAGAAGCGGCGCTCAAGTGGGGCCTGTCATCCGGCGTTACGACTCTCGACCGAGCCGCCTCCATTCCCATAACCGGACCAGTCTCACAGCCAACAGCTGACGGAGTGTTTGTCAATTCCGCTTCAAAACTTGTCACTCCATCTTTAAGCGCCGGGTGTGGTACGAGTGTCGGTTAAATGTTTTGCACCAAGAGTGTAGACTATATAATACAGTCTCTGCTGCCAGATCTTTCATGCACTCACCTTCAACTCGTGTCCTTATCTACATGTCAGTAGATACTGGCCGCTCAGCCATGTCCGACATGCATTTGCCCCCCCTACGCCCAGCCAGGCAGAGCCGGACAGACTCGCTTGACCCGCACCTTGACGCCTCGCTCCGTCGGGAAAGACATGACGACAGAAGGGGCAGCTCTGACCCACGTTCCAACGTTCGAGGTCTTGTCATTGAACTTGGGACATCTGGCTCAGACTCGGACAACAGTTGGCGAGCTATCCACTATCAGTGGAGCCAGGTCGTCTTGAAGGTAACACGACGATCGTATCAGCTGGAAGCAGAGCTACGACGTCTTCAAGAACAAACAAAGTCGCTCAAAGGCCGAATTTGTGACTGTGAGGAGAAGATAAGAATGCTTGAAGAGGAAACCGAGAATTCGAGAAGGGGAGCGCGCGAGCTCTCCCGGAACAGGGAGGTACGTGAAGTCTCAATCTTCTTCATCAAAAGCTAAAGCTTCGTGCTCTAGAATCCGGGATTGGCTGACGCCACAAATGTGTCTGATGGGGCTACGTCTGCCTTCAGTCCCGCAACCCCCCTTGCTATGGATGACTGGGAAATGACTCAGGTGGATGACTGTGTCGAGCTCGAAGTATAGTACAAGACCTTTGAATACATTGAGAATTATTAGTCTACATCCAATATCGTGTATCGTCAAGTAAGTATGTCGCCTCCTTAGTGGAAGTGCAAGACGCGGCGTCTTAGTTGCGGTGATCCGAGCGACAGCTACGTCCGGGCACCGCGACGCTTCTATCTCACACTGAGAACTACTACGCGGGTTTTTCCGCCGGAGGCTTCGAGTTGCTACAGATAAAATGGCCGACACCGCCGGCGCCTGTAGACTATGACCTATGAGAGCTGGCTTAAGCGGACTAGGAGCCGCTGTTCTCCGTTGGATAAGAGCCGAAGGCAGACAAAGTGGAAAAATCGAGGTCGAAACCGGCGAGCCTCCGAGTGCGCGGGTATCGAATCACTGTCGCCGCTCATGGGTGAACCAATCGCGGATGAGCCGACCCCTGTGAAGTTGATGGAGGCAAATCCGCTGGAGAAGATGGTGTAGACATCCCTGTAAGCCGAGCGGGTGAAGAGATGATGGCTGCCTCCCCCCGATTTCTGTAGCCCCCAAGGCAGAAATCCTGTTTCCCCGCCTCCAAGCCCGTTCCGTTCAAAGATGCATACAGGATGAGTGGGTGGGTATAAGAGGCAGTCACTATAAGATAATACGTACACCATGTTGCGTTGAGGCTCGAATGATCTCGCAAATGACTGCGTTTTGAGCGCCTCGGTGTTACGTTCTTCTATGGGCATGTGTTCATCGCAAAAGCTCTTAGTGGATGCCGTTTGTTTTGCCTGGTTTATGCGCAACAATGGCGCAATATTTATAGCTATCACTTCCCCGAGCTATACCTTAGGTATTGTTGTGCCCAAAGATCATGGCATATTCTATCCCCAGCTACAGAGAATTGTTATCGCTTCTGGGCTACGGTGACCTAAGCCGTGCCCATGCTATGCTATTTACTTATGATGTAACGACATTTATCCGGACTCTCAGGACGACAAGCGAGCGAGATGGCGATGAGATGCTTTCTTCGCAAGATCATCGTCACGCTTATGTGCAGCTCGCAGCTACGTTCCTGGAAGCACACGGACGAGGCTTGGTCTACTGGTCTGGGAATGCATCTTCTTCGATCTCATTCACGTATCCGCATCACAAGGCTGAGTAAGGACCTAAGTTTATCTTGTCGAGATGTAAAGCTAACATGATGCAGAATATCTCGGTTGATGACGTGTCTATTCTACAGATGCGATCAGAAGATTTATGGGTGGAAGAACTTTCCTGTGCTTGCCACGAACACAACGCGACTGCAGCAATGCAACTCTTGTGCTTCGGCAACGCATCTGCTCCCTAACTCAATCATGCCGCTTGACCAGATTCAGGCTGCTCTACGGAATCCATGCGAAGTTGGAACCATGATATATACGTATAGTGTGGGAGAAATCCACGGGACAACTACGAGATATTCCACATGGTCTCCACGGCAGGGTTTGCAGACGAAATCGCTAGCTGACCTTCTGAATGGGATTCCAGGTGGCGATGGTGCCTCGGGCCTGAAGTTGGTCTTCAGCGGGCCTGGATTTTCCATTGGAGGGCAAGCTTTTGATGAGAGTGACTTTGCAAGGCTGTATTTTGAGTTTAACGACCAAATCGATCGAATCCTGGTGGGACGAAATCGTCGGGCGCTCTCTAGCAGCCACAACGTCCACGTTCAGATTTTTGTTTTTAAGCAAGAGCGACCATCAAACGCTTGGATATTCTCATAGTGGATTCAGTGCTACAAAAGTCGTTCTAAGCTCCTGCTTAAAGTTAAATATGCTAGTAGACCGTTCTTGTCCTGTCTCGCCCCTTCTTATAACGTTGAAACGGTTTCTATCGCTCAGCTGCACACTAACTGTTAATAGGCTCACGATCTATGTCTCGTATAGGTAAAGGCGCCAATGGTGTATCTCTATAGGGCATAGGGCTTGCTCCATCCGCTGTCCCTAGTAGAGCCGAAGTACTTGCGCTCTGCTGCTTTCCATCACGCTGCATTACTGTATCGCATGCTTACAATCTACACCATCTGATAGGAGCTCTTTGTGTGTCATAATTTTCACCCATCTAGTTGCGGGACGATTGCCAGCAGCCTGGTTCTTGACCTGACGGGGCAATGAGGCTGATGTGGAGAGTGGGGGAGGCAGGAATTGCACAATCCAGGACTAGCTCCTCCTGAGCCTTAACTGAAGGCGGACCTGCTCACGGGACGGAGAATCCACAGACAACAAGGTGACAGTGAGGTAAGGCTGATCCGTGTATGCAGGTGCGCTACGGCAGCTTGTGCATCTAGGCACCAACATGTGACTCGCTTATACTATCTCCTTCAGGGAACGCTACGAGCAAGTCGCAGATACGAAGTAGCATTGACGCACAGCCCACTTTTCCCGCAGAGTCTAGCCCATCACGTCACGGCTGTAGATGCAGCCCTACACTCCTTATGTATGCAAGAACATGCAGGCGTCCACATTGTAGCCGCATCTAGGCCGCTCCTACCTGTGTTCTTAACAAAGGCATTTCCACCTCACGAGGAGGGGGCTCTTCGAAAGGTCTGTATCAGAGCTAGAATTGCCGACTGGTACGCAGGCGAAGAAGGTAGCTATATGAGCCATGTAGCTGGAGCTCTTTGCCCACCCGGGGTAGCTAGCCCCAATTCCCCAAAGATGGCCATCGAGCACGCTTCAGTCTAAATCTAGGGACATCGTACGATGGAGGAATCTATCATTCGTCAGATACGCGCCTCATGCATCACTATCCCACAGATGTCGCCTACCGACCTACGGGCAAGAGCCAGTACAGAGCCCAGCCCCGACCGCCCCTACCGAATGAACCTCCGAATTTGTGGGTCAATGTGCCCCACTACCTCCGGAGGATGTGGGGGCCGCCGCGCCGCCTTCCGGACTTTGAGAGGCGGTGATTTGCTAGTCGAACGGCACGGGCAACCCCCCATATTAGGAATGTTAGGCAGCCATGCGCTCGTTTCCTCTGTATGTAGGATGTATATTATGGGTGACAACCTAACGTGACCAACGGCCTCTGCTTCTGTAGCATTGCATCTAGCGTAGTCCAAGTTTAAAGTCCACAGGTGTCCGATTAAAGAGTCAATGGTTCACTTTCCAAAGAAAGGGACGCGACTCCGGCGATCCCCATTTGTCCCCGTTCTATTGGGCTCTTGGGCCCAAATCAATCCGAGCGTTATTAGCAGCCGTGCACCAAATTTGAGGGCTGTTCTCGACTGCTTAGGAAGATGGCCAGCACACATATCTATATAGCGGATGGCCAGAGCTACACTAGGCGTCAGCACGACGTAGTGGCGAGGAGAGGACCAACACAGTTGATAGCTCAGACTGCCCCGCCTTAAGGGTGGTGAGAGGAGATGTAAGGCATATGGTATGGAAGGCCTTGGCCTGCCAAAGTAGACTCGCGGCTAAGGAGATCAACCGATTAACTCGCATCATTTCTTTGCTGCCTGCTTGTGTCTCGCAGGTGGATGTAGTATGACATCCTGCATGGTCAACAGGTCCAATCTGTCGTTTTTGTACTCCAGACAAGCGCTGCATCCCGTCATGGCCCAGCTAAGTTGCGAAGAAGTACACTAGATTTAACCACCCGTCGGCGCTTATAGCTATTCCTCTTTCATTCTTGTCCTCCAAATCCCCCCTTTCGCTTTTATTTGAGAGTTGGCAGCCTTATTAAGACTTTGTTGCCGCATTCTTTAACAACTTTCACCACCCAACTTCATTGAGCGCATCCACACACGAGCCCTTCCATCATGGATTACTTTTCTTGTGGCACAAACGACCTCCGGGGCGATTCACAAGCTGCCGATCGGCGTAAGAGCAGTCCAGTAGCGGAGGTTCCCCAGCTAGATAATGATACCTCCACCGTTGCCTCAAGCTCCCCGTCTACAACGTCTTCGGAACCCGCAGCACTTGGCCAGTTGGCTTTGGACCCCCAAGCCTCGTGGTTCGACTTCAGCGGCCTTCATTCTCAGAACGACGTGCTATTTCCTGATAACCGCAATTTGTCGGTATATGATTCGCCCTTCCAGTACGGGAAGTCTACTAACGATGACACAAAATGGTGAGTTTCGGCAACATATTATGATTTAATAGCAGCTTATTGACATGGCTTAGGTTGTTGAATAACATATCGTCTCGCCTAGACGCCCTGGAGCTTGCCGTTTCGACGGGAAACATGCGAGTTGGGTACGTGCAAGACGGGATCAGTGAGGTACTCAAGCGATCACAAACCGCTGAAGACATGATGAGGGAGCTGCACAGCCTCAAGACGAGCCTGAAGGAGCTTATGAAGTCGTTTGTACTCCTTTCCCTTGGGGGTGAAGGTGTCGAAGATATTGATATGCAATCATCTCGCGCGGGGTAGCAGGCGAAAGCACCAGCGACAGTCAATGACTTTGTGCAATAAGGATTTATGTATATTATTCTTTTAACTCTAAGTGGACTGTGTATGTTATATGTACTCTCGTGAGCCTTGTAGTAGGTCTGCGGCAGCAAAACCTTCCTCTTCCGTTCTTTCACTAATCCTCAATATGAACAAGTACGACACTGAGCTCCCACTACTGCCTCTCAAACGAGCGCGGGGTAAGTGTTCTATAGCCCCTTTCCAATGCTCCAGAGTCCCTGCAAGTACGCATACGTTATTTCCATATACTGTGTGGTTCCATTAGTAGTACGCAGACCTCGGCTGGATTAAGGCAGCAGATGTCCCGAGCCGCAAACACTATATGAGAAGTTTTTTTTGACTCAATTTAAGAGACTTTAAATAAAAATATAAAGACGTTAAAATTAATCTCAACATAATATTTTTCGGCTATTAAAAAGCTTCTCTACGCCAGATTGTTGCTAAATCTCTATAAACCCACGTCTTCTTGTGTCTTCCTTGAGAAATGGCATTCTTCAAGCTATCAGCAGCGCTCGCTTGTGCTTACGCTGTCACGAAATTGTAAGCCACACTACTCTTGCCGTCATCCGGATCATGCTATAACATATAGTCAGACTCGACAGAGTTGAAACGGCGAGCTACCGCCGGCAAGACCAAGAACGGACACAACGCCGAGATCATACATACGATAGACACAAAGAGTCTTTTCGACGACGCAGGCCATCCCGCCGGAGGTCCACAAGGCGGGACTCCCCTCCCCCGCGTCGGACTAGGGGAGAATGAACGGTTTATATAGATATGTTCGAGCAGGGTTGTTGTCAAATCACCTCGAATTGCAAACAGAGCGGTGCCTTTTTAAGTACGAGAGATGTTACTGTCACAATCGTTTATCGTAAATCAAGCTGTATTAGGTATACAAAAAGCAGGTTGCCATCGCCACCCACACCACACATGACAGTGTCACAGCCAGAGGACATGGAGACGAGGGGTTTTCCCCTTCTGCTTAGAGCACTCTTGGAGCTTGGCCTTTCGTGGCCGCTTCGAAAGATATTTTGGAAGTCGACCGTACTACGCGGTGATCGCAACTTCCAACCTTTTGGGGGCCTCTGCATGTGCTGTGCACAGGCGAGTTACTTCCCTTGTCCCCTTCTCTTCGTCCCGTCGGGACTTGCTGAGAAGCCTTGGCCACAGTCCACTACTCGACCGCTCTCTCAACTGGCCAGTTGACTGTGTACACTACCCATAGTCGAAGACGGACCACCAATCTGGAGAATAAGTTGTCGAAAGACAAACAGGCATGGCCTCGAGAATTGAACGGATCTTCGCGGTGACTTCCCGTCAGCCCCTCCGCGTACACCGTCCCATGAGATTGGCCTCGAGCGGGCTTTACGGCTACTTGCGAAGCCGAGCATGTGAATCGGGAGAGAATCTCATCTTCGACGTGGACAGGCTCTGGTCCGTCGACCCCCCGTGCATCAAGGCAGAAAACCCTTTCATGCTTGTTGTCTATTTCCTTCACCGTAGTCCACCATACTGGGTACAGCCCGCGACACAGACACACATCGACACACTTCACAATACACTCACATCATAACCCCTACACTATGCATTTTTCGTATCGGTCTCTCCGACAGTTACCAGTACTTCTTGTGTCGAATTCAAGCTAGCTCTCCAGACCGTTCAAGTATCTTGGCGACTTTCTCATGCCCTTTCCGTCTTGCCACAGTGACTGCTGTGTCTCCATTCTCATCCACGAGGTGCGGATCCGCACCAGCGTCTATCAGGATAGTCACAATTCGTTCCATACCACACCAAGATGGCCAGAACAGAGGTGATCTCCCGGTAATTGACCTTGAGTTGACGTCCACGTCTGTCCTTTGCACCAGAACATTGACGACCGTATCGTGTCCATTCCTCGCCGCAATCCATAAAGGGGTTTGCGCCCTGATATTTCTTGTATCTGGCATAGTTCCTGTACAGAGGAGCTGCTCGATACGGGAAACATCACCTGCTGTTGCGGCGTTGTAAAAGTTTGCAATACAACGCCATTCCTCTCGAACGGAGACGAGACCATTCTGAGATAAGAGGTTGAGAACTCCGTGCTGACCACATGTTGCCGCGGCCTCCGCCACCTCGTCCGTGATGGTGATCTGGTCTCCTCGCTGGTCTAGAATGAGCGCCATCACTTCCTTGCCTTCATCTTCGTTTCCTGCCGCAGCCTTGACCACCTCGTCCGTGATGGTGATCTGATCTCCTCGCCGGTTGAGAAGCAGCGCCATCACTTCCTTGCCATTCCTGAAATTTCCCGCCGCAGCCTTGACCACCTCGTCCGTGATGGTGATCTGGTCTCCCCGCCGGTCGAGAAGGAGCGCCATCACTTCCTTGCCATTCCCGAAATTTCCTGCCGCAGCCTTCACTACTTCGTCCGTGATGGTGATCTGGTCTCCTCGCCGGTCGAGAAGGAGCGCCATCACTTCCTTGCCATTCCCAGAATTTCCCGCCGCAGCCTTGACCACCTCGTCCGTGATGGTGATCTGGTCTCCTCGCTGGTCGAGAAGCAGCGCCATCACTTCCTTGCCATTCCGCCGCAGCCTTGACCACCTCGTCCGTGATGGTGATCTGGTCTCCCCGCCGGTCGAGAAGGAGCGCCATCACTTCCTTGCCATTCCCAGAATTTCCCGCCGCAGCCTTGACCACCTCGTCCGTGATGGTGATCTGGTCTCCTCGCTGGTCGAGAATGAGCGCCATCACTTTCTTGCCTTCATCTTCGTTTCCTGCCGCAGCCTTGACCACCTCGTCCGTGATGGTGATCTGGTCTCCCCGCCGGTCGAGAAGGAGCGCCATCACTTCCTTGCCATTCCCAGAATTTCCCGCCGCAGCCTTGACCACCTCGTCCGTGATGGTGATCTGGTCTCTTTGCCGGTCGAGAAGGAGCGCTATTACTTCCCTGCCATTCCTTGAATTTCCCGCCGCAGCCTTGACCACCTCGTCCGTGATGGTGATCTGGTCTCCCCGACGGTCGAGAATGAGCGCCATCACTTTCTTGCCTTCATCTTCGTTTCCTGCCGCAGCCTTCACTACTTCGTCCGTGATGGTGATCTGGTCTCCCCGCCGGTCGAGAAGGAGCGTCATCACTTCCTTGCCATTCCCAGAATTTCCCGCCGCAGCCTTGACCACCTCGTCCGTGATGGTGATCTGATCTCCTCGCCGGTTGAGAAGCAGCGCCATCACTTCCTTGCCATTCCTGAAATTTCCCGCCGCAGCCTTGACCACCTCGTCCGTGATGGTGATCTGGTCTCCCCGCCGGTCGAGAAGGAGCGCCATCACTTCCTTGCCATTCCCGAAATTTCCTGCCGCAGCCTTCACTACTTCGTCCGTGATGGTGATCTGGTCTCCTCGCCGGTCGAGAAGGAGCGCCATCACTTCCTTGCCATTCCCAGAATTTCCCGCCGCAGCCTTGACCACCTCGTCCGTGATGGTGATCTGGTCTCCTCGCTGGTCGAGAAGCAGCGCCATCACTTCCTTGCCATTCCAAGAATTTCCCGCCGCAGCCTTGACCACCTCGTCCGTGATGGTGATCTGGTCTCCCCGCCGGTCGAGAAGGAGCGCCATCACTTCCTTGCCTTCATCTTCGTTTCCTGCTGCAGCCTTGACCACCCCGTCCGTGATGGTGATCTGGTCTCCTCGCCGGTCGAGAAGCAGCGCCATCACTTCCTTGCCATTCCTGAAATTTCCCGCCGCAGCCTTGACCACCTCGTCCGTGATGGTGATCTGGTCTCCCCGACGGTCGAGAAGGAGCGTCATCACTTCCTTGCCATTCCCAAGATTTCCTGCCGCAGTCTGTGTCACTCGCGCGGTTACTGTCCCTCCCAGATCCAGCAGGACAGAAACAGCACTTGGATATTCCGACATAGTAGCGCACTCGAGTGGTGTTACGCCAGAGGCATCGACGCAATCAACAGGACAGACTATCTCCCTTGCCCCATCATGTTGATCATCTGAGCGAGAGGCATAGTCCGCTAGAGCGGGAACCCCCCACTTTGCAGCCACATGAAAAATGGAGAATTGCGGTGGAATCGGTTCCATCCACTTGGGAAGGCTGCGACGATATGAACTTAGCCAGTGCTCCCGAGACAGAGAATTAGTTTCGAAGAAGTCCGCTTGCGAAGACTTGACCTCGAATCTTGACTGCGCCTTGCGCGCATGATTGGCCCATTCCTCGGTTGCATACTCTGAGAAGTGGGTAGGTGATTGCTTCTTATCACGGAATTCCTTGATCAGAAGATCAACACAGCGATGGGCAAGGCGAGCATGTGCCTTGAGCTCGTTGATGAAATGATCGGCCCCAGCCTCGGCTAAAAAGTCCTTCACCGACTGATGCAACAAGAGCACTTTTTCATCTTGGATGATGACCATCAGGCGACAAGACTCGACGTGCTCTCGCGTGAACTGGGCTCGGGTCTCTGCGTCGTCTTCGTTCATGTGTAGTTGGCAAGCTTCAGAGAGTTCCAAGACGCTTAATGGACGCAGACACACAGCAACGAAGCTCAGGATTAGTCGGACATCATCGGCTTTGGCCGTGTCCCGTTCAAGGGCTGTATGGAGAAGCCTCTTGTAGAGCGAATGAAGCCCTTTGGGCATCCCCTCTAAGACTGGGATAGCGTCCTTCGAAGGGACATCCTCGAGCTCGTTGCAGGCTAAGCCAACCCAGAGAAAAGTTCCGTCAGCCTTGTCTCTGAGGATGTCGCCGACTCGTCCTTTAACCTTGTCTGTATAGCGTTTCCTCTCGGCCAAATTTGCCACTCTTTCCTGGATACATCGATCAATATCTTGCTTTGCCTCGGGGAAGGAAGCCAAGTCCTCATTGGCAAATATTTCCAAGTATTCGCGGATCTCGGGATACGGCCGACTGGTGATCAATATCCGGAGGTTTGACGGGGCATGCTGGCTCTGAAAGGTTTCTTGTAACTGTCGCAACAGGATCTTTTGCGATTCTTGATCACATTCATCCAAGGCGTCAATGATACAGTATTTTTGACCGGTGTGCTGGTCCGCCGCCGCGGCCATGAATATTGTCCAGAGAGCGTCGAACGATTCGAACAGCTTCGCCCTGCGCTCGTTGTACTTTGGCAAGACATAGTCGAGAAGCTGCGGGTGTTGCTGGACGAGTTGGAGGAGAAGCCCTCTGACGACTGACGTGGCCGTCTTCCGCGTCCCGAAGCCGGAGTCGCAGAAAAAGTAAGCCAAGGTTTTCCCGTATGTGGCAGAGAAAGCCGCCGACAGCGCCTCGGTGAGGAATATAGCCATGGTGGATTTTCCCGTCCCCGGGTACCCACGGAGCCACAGAACATTGGTCGCCTGGCTCTCCGTGAGCTCCGTCTGACTGGGGCCAAGCCAAGCAGTGAGAGCTTCTGTGCCGAGTATCCACTCGCAAGTGCCGCGAGCGCGGTCTCCTTTCTTGCGCTTCAAGTTCATTTTGTCCTCGAGCGGGTCGGTCACGAAGAGGTCAACGAGACAGGTTTCGGCCTCAGGCTTGTGCTTCAATGCGCCTTGGAGGTCTGTCAGAAAGGATAAGCGAATATAGCCAATGACGGGACTTACTTCTATTATCGGTAACGATTTCCCTTGCTATCAACAGGGTTAGCGAGGAGCATGAGTCAAAGGAACGAGAACACACACGATCATGCCGACGTCGAACGACATCCTTCGCACCACGGCACATTTCGGAGATCACAGCTGAGACCCTCTCGAATGAGCGGTCGGTTGGGCCTTGATATTTATTTATCTTCAGGTGATCCGTCTGGAGGGCATATCTGTCAAGGCCTGGGATGCAAGCGGACGCCTCTTCCACGATCTAAGGATGTGAGTACAGGCGCTGGCGTGGACGGCTCCTACGTACCATTCCCTTTGCCACTCCGCTAACCCCAAGCCGTCGCCCGTAGTCCGTTTCGTAGAGTTCGCTGAAACAGGAGACGGGTGTGGACAGACTATTGCGCAGCCGGCAGAAGCGATGCAACCTGTCCAATAGCTCAGGCCCGTCGAAACCGAGCTCCCTGGTGATACCGCGGTGCGAGCCTGCTGATCCCATAAGCTGCGCGAGGGAATCGACGAAGGGTTGCCACTTCGTGCCCCGAAAAGGAGTGCCCAGAAAGACTAGACCGACAGTCGCCATCGGCAAGTGCTTGTAATTCTCCTCGTCGCGGGCGTGCAGGAGGGCCTACGACGTCGAGATTAGCCAAGAGCATAGCAAGAGTATGCACAGCAGCTCACATGTACGATGACATTTCCACCTAGGCTATGGCCGACGAATACAATCGGCCGGTCAGGGGCGCCGTCGCGAAACAAGTGTAGGCTATGCACGAGCTCCTCTCCGCAGAGCTGGAGGCGCGTCTTCGGCGCGTCCGCATGCCATCTCGACTCGTAGTTGTACGCGATAATCCTCGATTTGGGCACCTTCGCAGGCAGCATGCCGGGGTCTCGAAGCCAGTTGATACACTTTTCGTCGTCCTTCCATGTCCAGGACCAGTCAACGTTTGACCCGAGGCCATGTACGGCAACGATGCTGCGCTGGTTAGATCGACATTCCCTTGAAATAATTCGAGGACCTACTCAATTTCAGTATCGTCGTTGCTGAAGTCGGTCGGCCCAGGATACAATATCTCGAGAGGCGGTCGGGGACGATCCTACGCGGGATGAATATGCCGCTACGTCAAGCGTCGAGTCCACAAACCTTTTTCCTCTCTGGCGACGACTCGCTAGTGGAATGCCCCTGCCCGACTGCAGGCTGCGGTCGCGTATTTTCCTTATTTTTCGCCAACCAAAGGTATATGGCACCGGCGACGCCAGCTAGAAGGACTAGTCCGGATCGCACCCAATCCATCCGTACCACGGAGAGGTCTGTGGGATTTGCGTAGATGCGTGGGGCTGTCGCTGCTATCACGTTAAGCGGTAGCGGGGGACAGGAACGCTGGGATATGAACGACGGACACGTAACTCAAGTCGAAAGACCGCCATTTGAGCAAGGTCTTCGCTCAGACAGAATACGAGGGGGCAGCTCGGCTCGGTCAAATCGCGGGGACAGACCAGCTTGAAGCGGTGAGATTTCCTTTTCGAGCGAGATGCAGCATCGAGCTGAAAAGCCGCTGCTGCTTTTCTTCCGTGGTAATGCGCCACGGTGCTTCAACACAGGCTCCCGCAACCAATCATCCTTCCTGCATGTTCATGCGACACAAGAGTGCGCATACCGCCTATGATCCTGCCAAAAGCGAGCGGCGGCGCCGTGATATATCTTCCAAACACATCGTGTCCAATCTGCCACAGATAGCATTGTATCATTTATTTTTAATATTGGGTTGTTAGAGCTTTCGCGATGGCTGACGACTCGTAACGGAGACGGAATAGGATGGCAGTGGATTCAAGTAATGCCCTTGTAGTGTCCGTCTCACTGGGGTCACGTTTGAGCTAACGGCTCCTCTAACAGACACCCCCATGCTCCATCCGTCTTCTGGAGCACAGGGACAAGGATGGCGCCGACGCGTTTCGACACGAAAACGACCAGCTACTGTCGCTCTTGCCCGCGTCGTACCGCACGGAGTCCGACGATCTGGCCGCCCCCGCTCGCCATGTCACGACCTGCATCGAGAAGGAGCTCAACTTGCGCCGGCTGACCAGCATTCATGGGTGGCCGTGGCTCGCCGGCCGGCCCATGCCGCCGCGTCCGCTGCACCACCAGTTGCTGGTCGGCCGAGAAGTCATCGTCACGGAGCAGATGGACATGCATCTCGTCTGGACGACGAGCTGGATATTCCTCAAACCTATCCCGCGGTTCCTTCTCGAGCCGCGCTTCTGGCACGAGTACCTCTCCTGCGGACAAGAGCACGACTGCTCGGACGAGGACGTCGGTTTCCATGGCACTACCAACGTGTGCGAGCGGAGCAGACTTAGGCAGCGTGCGCTCGGCTTCCTCCTCTCCTACGCCGCACTGATTTCTTACGAGAGCGACTTCCTAGTTGCGAAGGAGAAGCATCTGCTTCCCATAGAAGTTCCATGGCCCAGCTGGAGGACGTTCGTCCAGGAGCTGCATACAGAGCACATCTACCCAAACATCGACGCGCGGTTCTACTACGGCGAGCTTCGCTGAGTCGGTTGAACAAGATATACAGTCTCTGGCGAACTCCACTTCGTGGCTACACGCCTCGCTGGGATCAGTACGGCGTCTTCTTTCGGGACAATTTTGCCTGGTTAGCCGGGACGACGGTCTATATCGCTGTTGTCCTGACCGCCATGCAGGTCGGGCTCGCAACCAAGTCCCTCACCAGCAACGACGCATTCCAGTCTGCGTCTTACGGCTTCACCATCTTCTCTATATTTCGGCACCCCGTGTTGCCGCCGGGCTCATCGTTTTGGCATTCTTTGTGTTTTTGTCTAGAACTGGGTCGTGACCGTAGGGTACAAAAAGAAACGGCTCCAAAACATCTTGAATCATTTCTAGAGGGTGCAATAAATAAATGATGCCCTTGCTGAGTAGTGGATACCTACTTACCTATGTATCTACCAAGTGGAGGTGCACGTGAGTGGGGACGTACGAAGTAACTAATAGAGTTAACAAGTTGGCTGCTGGTGCCTGGACACGCCTCAAAGCCAAACCGAGTGCTTTTGTGTTTACTGTTAGCAGACTTGGTTGAACACGTCAAGGCGGTGTGGTTTTGCGTTTTCTCTGGTGTCGCGATAGTCTCAGGGCGGCACTTGTGCCTGCTGTCTATGGATACCTAGGTAGATATTGTAGGCAATGCACAGCAAAAGTACAGGGCGTACAGTGCGACAGGTCCGTGAATCGAGTGCCCCAGTTCTTCGTATCCAAGAATCAGGAATGAAGCTTGCACTGTACTTTCCTGGAGAGCCTGCGATGATGGAAAAAGATATGCATCAGAGCTTGACCTTGGACCGTGGAAATGGTAATCCTGTACGTGGCGAATCTTTAGTTGAGGCTCTGGGGGCTCCTGACACGGTGCAGAGAATACTATGTACCTATCCCATGGTTCCGTAGAGTGCTTTGCTCATGCATATTCGGCCCCTCCGGATGCTTGTATCGGGATCGCTCTATGTACATAATGCAAGTCAGGCAGCGCCTCCTCGCCTGGGGCGAGGAAGTACCTCTTGCACCATACCCGCGTGCAAAGATACTTCTGCTCGGGGGAAACGCGGACGCGACCCAACTTGGCTTGTTGCTCGACAGCTGGCGTCCCCCATCAACCCTCCCACTCTACCTCAGCGCTTTCAAACGCTTTCCTATACTCTGCGGTCCCCCGAATTTGCATCTGTGCAGCCTTCCCATGATATCCTACCTCGCTTGTGGGTGTCCGCTGTGCCTGTTTATCACTCCACTGCAGCGTCGTCGCGCTGTCTGCGTGGCGCCGGATTAAACGGCTGCTCTGTCGGAACACGATGGCGACATAATCGCGCGCCACCCCTTGGGCAGCTCTCTGGACCATCTAAAGAAGTCACTTCAGGATGCAGAGGAGCCCTATGTATCAATCTCCGGTTCGCATGATGTCGCTGTCGACGGCTCTGCAGATGATCGCCAAAAAGCAGTATCTCGTCTCCTGACTAGCTTGATGGGAACAGAAGCAGCTTTCATTCTTCAGTCGAAAATCAGCAGTCGCAACGTAGCCTCTGAGCTAGCGCTTCTCTTTGGACATATCCAAAGAGGGGATTTTAACTATAACTACTACCGTCCTCTTGTGAAACTTGTCATTCAAGAGGCGCCCGACTCTGAGATCTGGAGCGCCGTACTCGATCTCAATACCACGCTCACCCGAGTAACGCCTCCTGCAAGTGTTCCTGCAACATTCGACAGTACGCCCATCACCCATTCTTCTGCTTCCCAGCAAGGCGCCGAACAGACACGTCAGGTGGTGGAGAGAAAAGTCTTTGAGGAGATCAGATTCTGCACATATCGCGACGTGGAAGGATTCTTTGAGAAATACTTTGAGGGTAAAGACTGGACACGCCGTGCCTTGGACGCCTATGAGGCGATGAAGGACCATCACGCCGATGGCGAGTGGGCCGACCTTCCTGACCCGCCCGTACAGGCCGAAGTTCTGGACTGGTGGTTCCGACTCCAGGAAGACTTCTTCTCGGAGGAACCACGCCGCTATTATTCGACCACGAACCCGAAGGACCTTGTCGGTGCTGAAGCTCAGCGACAAATCGATCTCTTTGTCAAGCGAAAGAATGGGCAGTCGCCAGACGCCGCGCACGACTGGGGAGATGTTGACGTGATCGGTGAGCTCAAGGCATCCAATAATAACAAAAAAGCGACGCTTCTCCAGCTTGGCCGATACGTGCGAGACGTTTTCTCCTGCCAACCAACACGTCGGTACGTTCACGCGTTTACAATCTGCGGGCGCGAGATGGAAGTTTGGGTATTTGACCGTTCGGGATGTTACAGTCCTGGCGCGTTCGATATCCATGAGAAGCCAGAACGGTTCATACAGGTGGTTGCTGGCTACACGATGATGAATGACGAATAACTGGGCTTGGGCACATTTACGGAGCTGGATGACGACAGTTGCTTGATACACATTGAACAGGACGGGGCTTCAGGCCGGACGAGGTTACGATTGGAGTCGCAGTCTTTCACCCGTCAACGGGCAATTGCCACCCGTGGGATGTCTTGCTATCTCACGAAGCCTCTGGACCCTAAGGATTGGAGTTGTGTGGCCAAGTTTTCATGGACGTCCGACAGGCGAAAGCCAGAGGCAGATCTTCTCAGATTGGCCCGTCAAAGAGGAGTCGAGGGAATTGCTGAGTTGATCGGCCATCGTCGCATAACCAGCATCAATGATATGCGATCAGGCTTGACATTCACGAAGCCTTACTCCTTCCGAGGTCTTCCAAGCACTGCGTCGACTTTTTCGCTGTCTTTCTCCCGGCCTCAGCCTCCCAGTGCCCTTTCTCGGTCATTCAGCGAACTTCCTGGCTTAAGCATCGCTAACAGGCCGTTAAGAAAGCGCAAGTCGATGGATGTCGGTCAGAAACCCTCTAAGCGATCAAGATCCAACAGTCAAAGGTCGAGCCAAAGGCAAAACGAGGTTACGTACGATGTAGAGGAAGCTCAAGGCACGAGCCTGCTCGTTTCCAACAACGGACGCTATGATAATCGAGTCTTTCGATGTCTAGTGATCTCCCCAGCAGGCCGAGCGATCCACAAGTACGAAAAGATATCGGAGCTCCTGGGGGCTCTCCGCGACACGATCAAGGCACACAGGTCCCTATACCTCAAAGGCAACATCCTGCACCGGGACATTTCCGAGAACAACATCATCATCACCGACTGCAAAACGAATGGCCACATAGGCATGCTAATTGACCTGGATCTTGCCAAAGAGCTGGGCAGCGGGCGCAGCGGGGCGCGCTGTCGCACAGGCACGATGGAGTTCATGGCAATTGAGGTCCTGCAAGGGATCTCTCACACCTACCGGCATGATCTGGAGTCGTTCTTCTATGTGCTCCTCTGGCTGTGTAATCGTCGTGGTTGGAAATTTCTGCGCAACCAGAAGGAGCAGCCTACACCGAGTCTATTGACAAAGTGGTACTCCGGCAGTTATCGAGAGATCGCGGGCGCCAAACGGGGGTATATGCATGTTGATGGATTTGAAGATATTCTGGAAGAGTTTCCGCAACCGCAGTTCGATTGCGTCAAGCCTCTGTGCCGAGAGTTGCGGGGGATTTTGTTCTCTTACTGGGACGGGCTCTTTGTCGGGTCACCGAATGATCCGGAGATGCTTTATGGGCCAATCATCAAAGCGTTTGGGAAGGCTATTGGTGGCATCAGGGCTATGGAGGGATAAGGTCGTGTCTGCTGTTCTGTACATATTGTGATGCGCCTGCCAACACATGTGGCCCCGAGGCACTATGCTGTCTCTGAGCGACGATCAAAGAGAACCAACACTTGGTACTTTACACCGGCCAGTCTCCACACCATCGCCGACAGTCCATTTAGGGTGCCCTCAACCTCTGAGTCGTACACCTCGGTGAGTGGAATCCGACCACTGCTGTAGGCCACTTCATCAGGACTCAGCCACAACGAGTGCCCATACCAGCAGGCGCCGTCCTCGCTCTATGAACCGTCAGTGTAGGGACACCAGCTCATGGAGCTGCTGAGGAACGGAATGCGAAATAAGTGGGGCGTGGCATGAGGCAGTTACGCGTTGGAAACGCGTTCGTGGAAGACCATATCGGACTCGGAGAATAAATTCACCGATAAGTTCCTGGGAGGTATGTCTATGTATCATAGGCGGCAACCGACTGCGTGCGCTAGAGTCTGCGAACGCAGCTTTTCGCGCCCCGCGCAGCAAGCCCTGGTAGCTTGGCGCCCTACCCATCAGGCTCAGGAGATAGCAACGCTTAAGTTGGAAGATCATTCCCCCAGTGATGCGCTTCTATGAAATCTTCTCCCCTCCCCCTTTCCTTCGTTTCTGTGACTTTCTTTTCGCGCCTTAAAAGATGACCACACATCCCCACACCCCCCGCTGTAACGTGGACAGTAAAAGGGGGGAACGGAAGGGAAATGGATGAGGGAGGGGCGGATGAGGCTGGCAGGAGCTTGCATACTGGTGAATCCATCAGCGAGGCTGCGCCCCAGGGCTGCTGCCCTCACGCAGCTGACGACCAACTCCAACGAATGGAAACTAACCACCCACGTTGCTTCCTGCGGCATAACCTTACCGTACCCCGCGTAAGTCTGTCACGACGGCCACGTTATTCTTCAATCTTCAATCTTCGCGTCAGATCAATAACAGAACAGACTGGAGCTTTACCTGCACGCATGTTCTTCTAGTGTGGCCCACTCCCCCACTCATGTCCGCGCGCCTATTATGGGCCTCGTCGACGCTAGCCATGTCTTTCTCCTCTTGCTAGTCGCCACCTTATCCATCTTCTTGGTGCGCAATCGTTTGCTACCAGGTCCAGCGCGCATCGAGGGGAAGCCAGCGAAATATGACAAGACGTTCCGTGTCCGCGGTGTTCCTCGCGAGTGGGATCTCGCCCGTTTGCGGTCCTTCCTCCAGGAACGCGATTCACACCTGACTGTCAAATCACTCGCACGAGAGATCCATGGCCGTTCGTCGTCGGGCACCGTTACCTGCCGAGATACCCCTGCCGTACTTTTGATACCCCTGGATCTGACCAACTCTTCGGGGGCGCGCCTCCAAGTCCTCACGCTGGACGACGACTTTGTCGGCATGACGACACTCTTCGCACCGCCCGACAAGGACCACAGAATCGAGTAAGGAGGGACCCGGCTGGCTCCTTGCAACGGCGCGTGCTAATCATCCTAGTGTCGTTGCTATATCGGGCCTCGGGGGCCACGCGTTTGGCTCTTTCAAAGAGAGAGGCGGGGAGCATATGTGGCTGCGAGACGCCCTGCCGTACGATCTCAAGAGCGAGGCTACCGAGGGGCATATGGCGCGCGTGATGACATGTGGGTACGGGTCGGCGGTTGCGGAGAGCCAAAACACCGATAACCTGGAAGACTTGGCAACGGCATTCCACAACAGCCTCCTTCCGTTGGCCTCTTCTGCGCAAAGAAAGCCTATTATCTTCATTGCCCACAGCCTGGGAGGACTGATCTTGAAACAGGTAATACCACCGCTTCTATTGTCTTGTCATTGGCTGATGTGTTCTGTAGATGCTCATTACTCTGGCAAAGTCGGAGCAAGAGGACGATAAGAAGCTCTTAGAGGCTGTGTATGGCATCGTCTTCTTCGGCGTTCCACACGACGGCATGGATATCAGCTTTCTTATCCCCATGGTCGGAGACGGGCCGAATCGGTTCCTTGTTGAATCGATTAGTCGCATCAATTCGCAGATTCTAAGCATCCAGCAGCGCGATTTCCACAAAGCACTCAGGGCCGAGGTGAATCCGAAATTGTCTGTTTCTACGAGACGATGCAATCACCAACGGCTGAACAGGTCTGTCATGGCTCTTCTATCATAGTGCCCAACTGATTCGTCCAGGATGAGAGTGGCAACTGGGCCATGTCAGGACCGCTGAAGGTGCTCGTCACCAAATCCTCAGCGACCCATTGCCGTCCGTGGGAGGACGGACCGGAGCACATCTGTGCCGTCGCGCGGTCACATTCGGGCATGGTTAAGTTTAGGCCCAATGACCCCGAGTATGATAAGGCCTGCGAGAGGCTGAGGGGCCTTGCTCGACGGGCGGTGACGGGGCGTCGTCGACGGCAGGCACTTAACGCGAAGTGTAAGTAAGAGGTAAGAACTTGCTGGCTTAAACTAAAAGCATCAGTCCTTGTGCCATACAATAAGAATCAAGACTTCGTCGGACGATCCAACATCTCAGAAGACCTCAAGCAGCAGCTGGGTTTCGGTCAGCGCCCTGGAGCCGCAGGGTCGCAACCCAGAGTGGCGCTGCACGGTCTGGGCGGAGTTGGGTGCGTCATATTATGCCCGTTCCATGGCAAGCGTGCTGACAAGCGCAGAAAAACGCAAATTGTGTTGGCATACGTTTATTGCTGCAGGAAGCCTGTCCTGAAGTTTCCGTGTTTTGGGTTCACGCAAGCAACGCGGAGCGATTCCGTCAGTCATTTGCTTCCATCGCGCAAGAATGCCAAGTTCCCGGCCATGATGATCCTAAATCGGATGTGCTGCCACTGGTGAAGGGATGGCTGGGGAAAAAGGAAAATGGGCGGTGGCTCATGGTTCTCGACAACGCCGACGACGCGCAGCTCCTCTTCGGCGCTATCGGTAGCGGCTCCAGTAGCATCGAAAAGTTTGGACAATTCATACCCGAATGTGGTCACGGAACAGTGCTCGCGACAACCAGGAACAAGCAAGCAGCCGTGAAGCTGACCAAATCGACCCGTATCGTGGAGGTTCGCAAAATGGACGAGGAGGAGTCGATTGAGCTGCTCCAAACAAGACTTAAGGAAGATGACAAGGCTACCTCTAGGGTCAACCCGATTGAACTATCAATACTATCCTCGCGCCTAGAGTACCTACCGCTCGCGCTCGTCCAGGCGGCTGCTTTCATTCGGGAGAATAGCGTTTCTATCGAATCGTATCTCGGGCTGCTCAGCGAGAGTGACAAAAACATCGTCGACCTGCTGAGCGCGGAGTTCGAGACGATCGGACGGGACTCGGAGGCTCCACAGGCGGTAGCGCAGACGTGGATGCTCTCGTTCCGACAGATTAAGGAACAGGATGCATTAGCGGGCAATTGTCTTTCGCTGATGAGCTTGTTCGACCGGCAGGGCATTCCGATGTCGTTTCTGTCGCACTACGGTGCACAGGAACGCAACGGAGGTCCGAAGAACAATCTGGAGCTGACAAAATCTGTTGGGCTACTAAAGGCCTTCAGTCTCATTTCAAAGGAGAAGAGCGGCAACCTGGACATCCATCGGCTGGTGCAGCTGGTGACTCGAAAGTGGCTCGTCAACGACGGCAAGATGAGTGAGTTTGGGCGGGAAGCGCTGCTGACGGTATCGCAAATGTATCCTTTTGGGAGGTTTGAGAACCGGACGGTGTGTAGTGCGTATTTACCGCACGCAAACGCTGTGCTGAAGATTGGGACTGGCGGCCTAGGGGATGGGGAGAAGGCGAAGGCGTCCCTGCTTCATTGCGTGGCGAGCTACTTTAATTTCGAGGGAAAATGGAGTGACGCAGAGAAACTTAGCGTAGATGCTGTCGAGACCCGCAAGAGGGTGCTGGGCGAGGAGCATCCCTCAACGCTGACCAGCATGGCCAACCTCGCGTTGACGTACTCGAATCAGGGGCGGTGGAAGGAGGCGGAGGAGCTCGGGGTGCAGGTGATGGAGACCCGCAAGAGGGTGCTGGGCGAGGAGCATCCCGACACGCTGACCAGCATGGCCAACATCGCGTCGACGTACCGGAATCAGGGGCGGTGGAAGGAGGCGGAGGAGCTCGGGGTGCAGGTGATGGAGACCCGCAAGAGGGTGCTGGGCGAGGAGCATCCCGACACGCTGACCAGCATGGCCAACCTCGCGTTGACGTACTCGAATCAGGGGCGGTGGAAGGAGGCGGAGGAGCTCGGGGTGCAGGTGATGGAGACCCGCAAGAGGGTGCTGGGCGAGGAGCATCCCGACACGCTGACCAGCATGGCCAACCTCGCGTCGACGTACTGGAATCAGGGGCGGTGGAAGGAGGCGGAGGAGCTCGAGGTGCAGGAACTGGGTATCTGCAAGAGGGTGCTAGGCGAGGAGCATCCCGACACGCTGACCAGCATGGCCAACCTCGCGTCGACGTACCGGAATCAGGGGCGGTGGAAGGAGGCGGAGGAGCTCGGGGTGCAGGTGATGGAGACCCGCAAGAGGGTGCTGGGCGAGGAGCATCCCGACACGCTGACCAGCATGGCCAACCTCGCGTTGACGTACTCGAATCAGGGCGGTGGAAGGAGGCGGAGGAGCTCGGGGTGCAGGTGATGGAGACCCGCAAGAGGGTGCTGGGCGAGGAGCATCCCGACACGCTGACCAGCATGGCCAACCTCGCGTCGACGTACCGGAATCAGGGGCGGTGGAAGGAGGCGGAGGAGCTCGGGGTGCAGGAACTGGGTATCTGCAAGAAGGTGCTAGGCGAGGAGCATCCCTCAACGCTGACCAGCATGGCCAACCTCGCGTCGACGTACTGGAATCAGGGGCGGTGGAAGGAGGCGGAGGAGCTCGAGGTGCAGGAACTGGGTATCTGCAAGAGGGTGCTAGGCGAGGAGCATCCCTCAACGCTGACCAGCATGGCCAACCTCGCGTCGACGTACCGGAATCAGGGGCGGTGGAAGGAGGCGGAGGAGCTCGGGGTGCAGGAACTGGGTATCTGCAAGAAGGTGCTAGGCGAGGAGCATCCCTCAACGCTGACCAGCATGGCCAACCTCGCGTTGACGTACTCGAATCAGGGGCGGTGGAAGGAGGCGGAGGAGCTCGAGGTGCAGGAACTGGGTATCTGCAAGAAGGTGCTAGGCGAGGAGCATCCCTCAACGCTGACCAGCATGGCCAACCTCGCGTTGACGTACTCGAATCAGGGGCGGTGGAAGGAGGCGGAGGAGCTCGGGGTGCAGGTGATGGAGACCCGCAAGAGGGTGCTGGGCGAGGAGCATCCCGACACGCTGACCAGCATGGCCAACCTCGTGTTGACGTACTCGAATCAGGGGCGGTGGAAGGAGGCGGAGGAGCTCGAGGTGCAGGTGATGGAGACCCGCAAGAGGGTGCTGGGCGAGGAGCATCCCGACACGCTGACCAGCATGGCCAACCTGGCCTGGACTTGGTATAAGATTGACCGAGTCTTGGAAGCGAAGGCGTTGATGCAGGATTGCATTCGCTACCGGCAGAAGATACTTGGCCAGGATCATCCTCACACCCGGTCTTCCATATCGACCATGGCTGGATGGGAGAGTACGAGGTAAAGGTCTAATGAAAGATCCATGATCTTCTGCATCGAATCAATCCAACCGCTTCAGACAATTGATGATGGTATTCATGAGCCAGCCTGTCTCTACAGTGGGATATATAGGCTACAGCCGCTAGGTTTCCTGACTCAGCTTACGCTTCGGTTAGAGAACAACTGACGTACTATTCTTCTCTCTTTCTTTTCTTTTCCCTTTGTTCTCCGAGGGTTGTAGGGGCAGGAAGACATTCATCTTCGCAGGAGGCTGAGAGGCATTGTTCTTCTCTAGACTTGGCGAGAATCGTCTTCTGTTATTATTTAGCCGAGGTTCTAGATGCCTAACGTAATCCACCCCCTTCCCGGTCAGACCCCCTACTCGGTCAAAATTCTCCACCGACTTGTAACCGCGATAATACCCCGTTTGGGTCGAACGGAAAGAGGCCTGTTGCCATAAATCCGCTTCGGATATTCGACGGCGAAAGTGCTTGTCGGCGAGCCTCTAAGTATATAGGAAGGAAGTCCTGTTTGTCGATATGATGGATCCCAGCGAGCATTTTCTCTTGAACCTTCCGGCCGTATATTGTTTTCAACGGCGAATAGTACCGGACATCAAGAGGCTGCAAGAGATGCGAGGAATGTGCAGGCATTTGCAGTACCACGATGGAATTGGCAGTACAGTACTTGTCAAATTCCGGCCTGACGTGGCTGCCGTGCCCGTCGAGAATAAGAAGTCGATGCGTACCAACCGTACGGCGCCGTGTATTCGGATCAAAGACTTTTGCCTTGATATCGCCGTGGCGGCCAACAAACTTCCGCACCCAGTTTTCCCCGACAGGATCTTTGCCTCGCTCGGTAAGCAATAAGTTGGCCATCCGACGAGTGTAAGCCACTGTCGGCGGCATCCCTCGCTCGTCCATCGACAAGATCCATTGTACCAGGGCAGTCTCTTCCGTCGCCGTCAACTTCAGGTTGTTCACCTGAGCGTCGCGTCGGCGAATGACACCGCGCAGTCGATCAGATACTGTGTCACGCGCTTAGAGACCTGTGTTGCGTCATCTGAAACCGAAGTGGGGATCGCGACGCGCGGCAGGACTTATATAAGGATGCGGGGATAACCACAGCCCGCTGGAGGAGCTCTTTAGAGATCAACAATTGCATCACTGGCCCCCGTTCTTCACTCTCTGTTTCGTCGTGATCGTGCGCCTCTCGCTTACCCCGCAACCGTTATCATCGCTTTACTTGCCTTCTTGCTTTTTCTGCTTCTTCCCGGCTGCGGGATGGTGCCCGAATGGCCGATTTCTTTGCCTACCTTCATGCATGCTTTAGTTCCTAGCGCTACCGCCTGCTTGCGTCTTTTTCTCTCGCCTCTGTCTTTGTCTTGTTTGTCTCTCAAATCTTCGGTCTTCGTTCCTCAAGGCTCTTCGCGCAATCCATGAGGGGTTGCCTTACCTGTACCTGTGGGCTTGTAGTAAGCGGTGACCAATGCAGTAGGCGGTGGCCTATCGTAGTAGCTGGTGACCAATGTAGTAGGCGGTGACCAATGTGGTAGGCGGTGACCAATGTAGTAGGCGGTGACCAATGTGGTAGGCGGTGACCAATGTAGTAGGCGGTGACCAATGTAGTAGGCGGTGACCAGTGTGGTAGGCGGTGACCAATGTAGTAGGCGGTGACCTATTGAAGTAGGCGGTGACCATGGCAGGAGGCTCACAGGTAAGTCAACCCCTTATGGTTGCGCAAAGAGCCCTGAGGAACGAAGATGGAGGTTGGAATAAAAAACCGAAAGGCAGGCAGTAGCGTTAGAAACTAAAGCATGCAAGAATGTAAGTAAAGAAAGGGGCCATTGTTGGAAGAGACAGCTGGTCTCCTCCAAAGCTGGTCTCCTCCAACAGCCATTAAAAAAGCAAGAACGTAGCTAAAGCGGTGTCAGGCTGCGGGTAACAGAAGAGGAAGGAATATAAGGAAGGTACATAGGCAAGATTTCCAGAGAAAAGCAGCCGCTCTTCACCTTAGTCACCGATCCAGGCACTCGGCCTGCGGCCTCGCGGTCGGCCTGGGCGGCCAGGCGGGAGGAGCGAGAAGGGAAGTGGACGGGATGCGGCTGCCTGGCCAGGGCGAGCGCTTCGTCGACGGCCGGTCACAGATGAACAGATACACTGGTAGGAGAAGGAGGTGTTAGTAATTGACGAGGTTAGCATGCACGAGGCGCGAACGCTACACGCGGCCAACAAGCGGCTCTGCCGGCTGCGGGGGTCGCCTCAAGACTTTAGCAGGGTCCCGGCAGCGATCCTCTACGGCGACTTCCACCAGTTCCGGCCGGTGCAAGTGCGGTCGATCGTGCTGCCAAGCGTGGCCATGCCGTAGGGCGAAGACAGGGCGTTCGCGGCCGAGCAGCGGCGGCAGCACGACAAGGCGCACGCGCTATAGGAGGTTCACGACGGTCATCATGCTAGACAAGCAGATACGGGCCGCCGGCGACCCGGAGCTGCGGCGGCTGCTCGGCGGATCCGCCGAAGGGGGCAGGACCCGTCAGACCTAGACCTGCTAAACTCGAGGTGCCATAGGGAGGGCAGGCGGATTTCGTGGGAGACAGGCCTGACGGCAGTGACACCGCTGACAGGAACCGCTGGAAACTTCACCTAGAGGCGGCGCGCGACTTCCTCTCCAAGAACAAGCAGAAGGAGGGCGCGCCGATGGGGGAGGAGGCGGTGCTAGTGCTAGGCTACGACGACGACAGCGCGACCCCAGTGCCGGCCGTCCTCGTCTTCGTGCCCGGCATGCCAGTCGTCATAAACCAGAACACGCACCAGGGGCTAAAGCCGGTGAACGGGGCCAGGTACACGGTGGTAGACGCGAAGATGGTGAAGTTGGATTACCAGCCAGATGACTAGAGATACCTACTTTCCTCGTGAAGTGCCACATCAAGTCAAAATGCAAACTTATTGCTTATTTTACTACGCTTGATACTCACAATTTAGTCCGGTCCAAGCCATCATGAACGACATCAATCCTTTCAGCCCCTCCTTCTGGCATAGAAAGGGAGCGGGTGCGAAAGCAGGTCAATACCGGTACTTGAAATGAAGAAACTATGCATAGAGCCTACTATGAGCGGCTCACTTCGGACGAGGCCGATGTTGTTGCGCTGAGGAACCCGACGATATCCCCGTGCAGCGATCAGGACTTTCACGACCATATTGAATGATTATTTTCGTGAATTTATGGATTGGGCTTCGGGGCAGATAGTATTGCATCTCTGCACCTGCTAGCATACGGAGACTTCTCATTACAGGGTCATCTTGGATGGGGGGGTCGAGGCAAGTTGTGCACGTGCTGCAGAAGAGCGGAGGAGGAACCAAAGGACCTTTGGCATCTGGAGCAATATGAATGGCGGCTAGACTCGTGCAGGTGTTGCCTCGGCGCCGCTTTAGACACGGAGTCCCTATTACATCTTGCACAATACTCCATGGCAGCCGACAATCAAGATAAAGGAGAGGCTAGTGTTTCGTGATTGGGTCAGAACGGAAAGACCGGGAGGAGATACCGCGTCTTATCTTATGGCTGAGGGCACTTGCGCGTGGCCGTGAGAGGGGTCGTACGATAACTAGTTAGACGATGGTTGCCATAATTGTTTTGCTTCTGCAGTACGTACGTAAATCCAACCCAACAAGCGCCACACCGACATTATTTCACAATCTACAGCTCCAAAAAAGAATGTAAAGGTCCGCAGTGTCGTCAAGCAACAAACATCATTCGCTGTGCTTCAGCTTAGTGCAATAGTGCACCTGCAGGCATCCACGAGACCGCCCTGGAAACGTGTCATTGAAACGCTTATGGATCTCCGCCCACGAGAGGTTGCCCTGTTCCTTCCTCAGCTTGGTGAGTAGGTTATCTTCTTCGCGCGTGAACCTGGCTCTCGTGCCGGAAGTCCGCCCTGCCTGACCGCCAGTCGCTCTGGTAGTCGTAGTACGGCGCGCATTACCTGTGGGAACACTTCCTTGGCTGTGCGATGTGCAAAATGGCCATTCAAATTGTAGCTGGAATGTGCCCACGCCGTCCACGATGACCCGCTTGAATATGACGTTCTGCAGAGGCCACTCCTCAAATGTTGCGGCGGATGTCCCGACGTTTCCGTCTTCAGAGGAGTCGTGCGACGCTGGCGGACTAGGCATGCTGCGTGCTGACGTGTATTTGACCTTTCGCATCGGTGGGAAACGGGATACGTTGCTGCTGCAGCGCTGGGGCTTCGTAGTAGCAGAATCATGCCTAACCTTCCGACGTTTGCGCGGAGATTGCTCAGTGGGGTCGTTGGCGTCGCAGGCCACGCCGTCCTCCTGGCCGCCCCTTTCGCCGCTGTTCGCCGTGGCGGGACAATACTCCGTGTCGATGTGTGCGCCGCCGGAATGGTCGTCGTGATCGTCGGAAGCATCCATCTGACATCGCTGGGCCTTGCTGCCAATCTCACAATCACCTTGGGCTAGGTTACTGTCACTTTGATTCGCGCTCTCGGGGGAGTACAATCCCTGAGCCTCTGGCAGTGGGTTGATTGGATACTGGGACTCGGTTTCCGCACTGTGGTCCTCATAGGCGCCGGCTTCAAGGTCTTGTCTTGCTGAAATCCCCAGGGATTGCTGTTTTAAGGCGTAATCCTCGTGTGTTTCGGAAACGTTGCCGAGTTGTGTGAGAATGCTACTCGTAGGCAGATAGTCCAGTTGATTTAGAATGCTCTTGGCAGGGCTCTGCGACGCTTCATCCGCTCGGGGCAAGCTATGTGCAGGCGGCATCGGGGCCAGCACAGGCGAAGGCGCTGTAGGGCTGCTTGGGACCGATATTGATGTTGATGGTCTGGTGCCCATCGTGGCCTTTCTACTAGCTTGATTGACCGTTGATGAACCTGGCCGGCGGGATTCCTCGGCCTCACCGGCTCCGTCAGACACCGTGCCGAGGCATTCTAGCCCATTCGTCAACCCCCCGACTCATAGGTAACAAGGTGTGCAAGAACTTACCTACACCATTGGGGCTACCAGTCTGTGCTTTAGCTACAGATGTGACGACCGCGTTGGCCGACGGAAGTGTATCAAGAGACCGCGAGTCATCCATGTCCTGACCATCACGACCATCGCCCTCACCCCCAACTTGGTCATCTGCATCATCAGCCTCAGATTCCGTATCAGATGGAATCGTTATCGGCGCATCTGAATGTCGCCCGCAGACGGCGGGTATACGGTTTAAGCCTGCCTCTGCCCCAGGGGACAAAGCTTGTCGCGAGGTCGTAGAAGTGAATGGATGCCACTGCTGCGTTGATGGCCGCGGTGGCCTTGGCTGTGGCTGCTTCGTCTGCCTGCCGCCCCCCGGGGGAGGAACCCAAAAGGCTTGGCCATCGAGGTGATGGTAGAAGTCATCATCAGGGTGGGCGAATCTTTCGTGGGAGCAAGTGACGCTGTTCGCCTACGAACAGTCGGAGAACTTTGCTGAGAAGCATCATTAGGAGCACGAGTGCCAGATGCCTTAAATATGCGAGCGAGCCGCGCTCACCACTCTAGCCGACGCTCCCCTCACCTCGGCTCAAATATACTCCCCAGGCTCCAGGTGCTCTCGGGCTTTCGCATTGTTCCGTCCGTCCGTCCGTCCGAAACAACGTACAGGGCCAGACCCGCGTGAGCTAGCCTCTTATTTCTCCCGTTCACTCTCTGCCAATCATGCAGCTGTCGGACCACACCGGACGCGGCCAGAAGGATGCTGCAGAATCCTCCTCGCAACCCTACCGTAGACCTGCTCACGCTGTTGGCGGCCCGTTGCACTCGGCAGCTCCGAGTCAGCCTCAGGCTCCGCACGTTGGTCCTTGATTGGCATTGGTGCTCCCGTCCCGTCATTATATTCTGCGGCCTAGATTGAAGGATGAGGCTCGGCACCCAGTCATAGGCGTCCTTGGAGCGCCTTTTCCCAGATTGCGTTTGGCGTAGCAATATGTGCCGCGTCGCCTCCACGCGACCCTCCATCAACGACTGAAATCAATAAAAGGGGGCTTGGTCATGCCTTGCATAGTGCATCGGAAAGAGTCCGGCCGAGGGAACGCCGGGCCGTGTCCCTCGTATTGACAGACCATGCGCTGGCCTTTCCTCCTTGTGTCACACTGGTCCGTGGCGCGAAAGGGTGATTCAGCTCGTCAGGGATGGCGCCGGTCTGGCCGTGTTGGTCAATGGACCTGCCCCTTGTGTCACGCGTTGGCGCCATCAGCAACCGCGCATTTTCGTGACCGACTGAGGGGCACATGGGCTTCCTTTACCCACCAAATAGGGGCTGGCGTCCGGGGGGGCAGCCGTGACGGCAAGAGCCAAGACAGTCCGAGGTCAGGTTAGGGACAGAAACGTGTAGCTGGACGGATGACAACACCCAGACATGACAGCTTTATTCAAGTCAAAGAAGGCGCATTACGTGACGATAAAGACACGTATGCTCAGAAGTAGCAGTAGCGGCGGCGGCATTTCTAGAAGAAAGGGGCGCAGACGCGTCTGGCGGTGGAGGGCGAAGCGAAGAGGTCTGCACTGAGGTCGGCGGTAGACTGGCGGTGCAGGCGAGATGAAGACGGCGTGCATAAGGAAGGCGGGCGAAGGCGGAGGGCAGGGTGCGGCAGCAAGCAAGGGCCGAGCGTGTTGTGGAAGGAGAGAGAAGTCAAGAGTACATGTCGACGAGCGAGGGCAGGTGTTGAGATATTTATATTCCTGCCATGTTGAGCGTCACAACCAGGATCACGGGGCAGGGGCGGGGTCAGGGCGGCGGGGGCGCGATACCCGATCGGGGAGGGGCCATTTCCGGAGGCGGAAGCAGCGTGTTGGAGATTACTATATAAAAAAGTAAGTAATATAAAAGAGCTAGTATATATATTCCCATAAATAATTATTAGTAATTATAGACTACTAAATAAGATTATCTTTAATAAAGGAAGTATATTTATAGCTAAATTTTAGTAAGCTCTTATAGTATAATTAAGGACGAAATATAAGCTTAGTATAGCTTATTACTTATAAATAGATAGATAAATAGAATAACTTAACTAAACGCTTAAGTAATATTTACGATACTATATTAGCTATAAATAAAACGATTAAGTTAAATAGCTACTAATAGCGTAACTAGCTTATAATAGCTTAGTTATAAAAATAACTAAGCTCTTACTAGTATACGCTAATTATAGATATAACCTAAAAGTATTTAAGGTTACTTAATAAGGACTATAAGTAAAACGAGCGATACTATAAGTAGATTAGCTATAAAAATTATATAAAGAAATATAATAAGAACTTTAATTTATTAGAAAATAAATATTTACTTACTATAATCGGAAAAGATTATAAGGAATAATCTTTTAAGAGGGAGATACCTTATATAACGAAATATTAAAATAAAATAACTAAGTAATAAATTAGATTTTAAGAAACTTAGACCGTTTAAAGTTAAGAAAACTATTTTAAAAGTTAACTATAAACTTTCGCTACTAATAATAATATAGATATACTTAATATTTTATATCTTATTATTAAAACTAGCGCTATAAAACGCTAAACTATAGGAAAAAATTAAAGTTAATAATAATTAAAAATATAAAATAAAATAAGTATTAAATATAAGAAAATAAGGTTAGTAATAAGAATACCTTATTAAGTAAAAGGGATATAGATTAAAGGAAAATACTTAGGAACTACTTAAGTACTTAACTTACTATAGTTCTTTACTTTAATAATTTTACTAAAAGGTTTAAGAGGGATTAAAGGACTAAGATCTATAAACTCCTCGCTAATACTAAATAAAGACTAATTCGCCTTATTAAGAACGCCTAATAATTATAAGTTATTTACTACCTAATACTTATATATATTAAGCGTAGGTAAAACGCTATTCTTAGTATTTACTTCTTAGATACTATAATAAAATAACTTAGAACTCTTTTCCTTTATATAATTTTAAATCTTTTAAATATAAGCTAAATAATTAATAGCGATAGATATTTATAACTAAAGGTTTATAAGCTATACTTAAAGCTCTAATAAGGCTTCCTTAGCTTCCTTCTCTTTAAAATATAGCCTATATTACTTTACTAATAATTTAATTACTAAAAGAAATATATTAGCTACTATATATAAAAAGAATTAAAAGATACCTATAAGAAAAGGCTACTAAAATACTATTATAATAAGGACGACTACTAGTAATATAATTATTATAGCGTAAAGAATTTTCGGCTATTTAATAATTTATCTTCTTTACCTTAAAGTATTAAGTATATAGTATATTAATAGGATCTCTACTTAAGTCGATATATTTAGTAAGAGTAGCGCGCTTAAAGGCTTTTTAGGAACGATTTTTTAGTATATAACTAGATATACTATTAGTAGTATATCTAGAAAGGATAAAAGAAATAAGGAACGATATACTTACGTATAACGCGATAAAGGTATATTTATATATAGCGGCTAAGGCAGCTATAGTAGGTCTTATAGATAAGATTAAAAGGAAGGGAGATATTATATTATAACTATAGCTACTAGGCCGCTAACGGTCGACCGCGTTAAGTATATAATATAGTCTAATAGATAAATAGTTAGTATAACTATTTAATAGATATAGGATTAAGGGGATTATAGAGATCTAAGTAATCTAGGATTAACGAGATTACTATACTCTATATAATTTAACGTTAAGGATTATAGCTAGGCCTATAATCTAAGGATAGTCTTTATAGGTATATATAGCTACTTATTTTTACTCCTTTAAATAAATAGCTCTCTAGCTTTTAATATAGATCTTTATTATAATTCTATCTTTAATTCTAATTACTTAGTTATAGTCTATAGTCTATAACCTTTAACTTATTACTAATATAATATACTTATTATTACTTAGACCACGCCTTATTATATCTATTAATATAAACCCCTTAATAGGTTTATCCCTTAGGAATAATACCGGTTATTATAGGTTAACGGTTATTATAAGCTTATCGTAGCTTATATAATCTCTTAACTAAAGTTTACCTTAATCCTTAGGAAACCTTAGTTATTATATATAAAGTTATACTTAGTTTTATACTAAAAGAAGCTATAGTTTAGGCCTATATAATAGTAGGTCTACTATAACGACGGTTTTATAAGTATAGGACTAAGTATATAAGCTTTATATATAGTATAAGAAGTCCTTACTTCTATCTTTATAAGAACTATATAATAGTTAAAGTAGGAGGAAGGCTAGGTAGCGGCTAATATAGCGGTCTATATAGTTAGCTTAGTAGATATTAATAAGGCCCTTTAAGCGAAGAAGCTAAAGTCGCCCTCTAAGCTATAGTAGTAGATACTAAAGCGCTTTTATAACCTCCTACCGCTATTTAAGTCCTAGGAAGTAAATAAGCTTAACCTATATAAGCTAGGGGTAGACTATAGGATTATACTCTATACTAATAAAAAGGGGTAGGAACTACCTATACTATTTAGACCGCTATATAGTATATTATATATAGAGCTACTAATACTAAAGAAGACGCTTAGGGACCTCTTAAATAAAGGTTTTATTTAAGTAAGTAGCTTTAAAGTAAGAGCGCTAGTCTTATTTATATATAAACTAAGGGGTAAGATATAGTTCTATTATAACTATAGGGCTTTAAACGTAATTATAAGGCTAGACTACTACCCCTTACCCTTAATCTTAGATACGCTCTATAACCTTTTAAAGGTAAAGTAGTTTATAAAGCTAGATATAAAATAAGCGTTTTATAAGGTATAGATCTTAAAGGGTAATAAGTAAAAGATAGCGTTCTATATATACTATAGCTTATTTAAGTAGCTTATAACGCCCTTTAGCCTTT